GCTCACTCCCGGAGCAGCCCCAAGCTGCATGCCGCGAGACTCGGGCTGATGCTGCTGGTGCTTCTCCTGCTGATGATGATGGTGACAGCGGTGACGATGGTAACGGTGGTGATGATGATGGTGGACGATGATAGTGGTGATGGTGGTGATCGTGAAGAGGAAGTTGAGTAGCAAGCAGATGAAGTGCTAAGAAAAGGCAAAGTTCAGCCATCAACTAGCACGCTCCGGGAGAGTCCAGTGCTGGCGAAGAAAAAGGAAAGGGGCTGGCGCATGCAGGCTGCCTTCTAGTTTGCTTCTCCCCCCGAGACCTACTGGCGCGTTTCTTTCTTCTTTTTCCTCAGCCTCTGAGAACACCCGCTGCTCGCTTTCGCCTCCATTCTGCAGCCCCCCGTTTGTACAGGTAACAAACTGCAGCAGAGTTTGGCGAGACAACCACCTCTTCACTGCTCTCCCTAACAAACACAACACTCTCTCTACTCGTTCTCCTCACCAGTTGCCGCCGACTGCGTCGACACCGACACCGCAGACATCGTCGCACCAAGGCCCCAATCAAACTCAACTCCTTGCTGATCACCGAAATTATTCTTGTCTCCGCGGTGTTAGTCTGAAAACTCACTGAGAGTGATCGACAGGTAGAGAAACCTCCAGAGTCCTGTATTCACCGTCACCAAGTCGGGGGCGACAGAGGTAGAGGGAGGATATAGCGAGCTTGTAGGGTCCAACAGAGTTTCTTTTGTCTAGCAACGCAAGGTAAAGGAGTAGGTTGCTGGGGTCAGCTATCTCCTAAGCCATTTGACAGAAGAATTCGGCCGCGTAAGAAGACAGCTGCTCTCGCCTGGGTTTGTCTCCCCATGGCTCCCCCTGCCTCTGAAGGTTGTGGGGCTGCTGCTCCGTGTACAAGTGCACAGAAACACTTGTGTAAGAATTCTCCGGTGCATGCAGTAGATACCCTATCGTATGCATTGCCTAGACAGTTACTCTTCTGCTCAAGCAAAATTAAAAAGATGAAGACAGCAGCAACACTTTTCTTTCTAAGCCCTCGAACTAAGGAGCAATCTGCAAAGGGAAAAACCCAACATATACCCAATGGGGTGTTAAGTTTTTAGGGTTTAGGGTTTAGGGTTTAGGGTTTCAGTTACACTTTAAAGTGTACGATGTTCAGAGCAATATGAGCTCTCCGCGTGAACCCTTTTTTTTTTCGCATGCAAAGGAGAGGAAACAAAAGGGAAATGCATATTATAATATCTCCCCGCTACTGCTTTCCTCTAAGCTGTTGGCTGTCTAATTCAGGAGGGGCTAAGCAGCGCCTAAACTGCAGTACGCACGCGAGTGAGTTCACGAGAAAGTAAAGGGCTGAAGGAGGGGGAGAACGAGACTTCTGGGTGAGGCGATATTTTCATCGTTGCAGCAACTACTGGGTTTATGTTTATATAGGCCAGAGGATTTTATGTTAGAAAGAAGAAAGAGAATAGATGGGGAGAAGAGAGTGAAGCAAGAGATACTTAACGTAGCTCGAAAGGATAAAGGAGAAAGATACTACACAAAACTAGGAAGGAGTGGAGAGAGGAATATATATATATATATATATATATATATATATATATATATATATATATATATATATATATATATA